GTTATCAAATTCAAAAATAGAGGATCCATGAGACGAAGTAACATTGTCAAAGTTCTCATGTTATGGTTTTAGTTCTTCTTTTGGTCCATATAAGAACATCACGAGACAATGTAGCTTTGTAAAACTTCTCACTACAATTTTGGTGCTTCTTTTAGTCCATACAAGAACTTCACAAGCTTACACAATTTGTGTTCATGCTCTTGTGACAAATCCTTTTTGTTGCCCCATGTCAATCTATTCATGAATATTGTCTTCACATCTCAAGATGCAAAATCAAAACTCTAGATGCATATGTAAGAATCCATACAAGAACTTCACAAGCTTACATGGAAACTAATTTCCTAAATTTTAGCATTCGTAGATACTATAATTACATTCGGTACTACGTCCATAGATCTATATGCCTTGCATTTTATATGATACTCTACCTAAATACATTTTGAAGTCTTAGGTTCAAGCTTGTGCTTTTGCAGGTCAAGAATTCTACCAAGGTATCCCTAAACCTTGAGAAACACTAGGTAACATTCTCATTAGAATTTGAATATGGCACTCTTTCTCAGACAGTTCCTGCTGGCAATAAAGCCTCTACCCAAATATTTGGAGGAAGATTGGAACCTATGAGCATCACATTGAGTGATACTATCAATCTCTTCATAGAACGTTGTGAAATTGTCAAGGGTAATAATATTCACCACCTAGTCATGTTGATGTTTTAATTTTTAAATTCAACTGATTGTCAACTTCAAATTTATACACATAAAATTTCCCAAAAGCTCCATCATTTGTTCTCATTAAAGAAACATAAGTGTATATTGAAAAATAATCCATGGAACTAATAAAGTACTTATTGCAACCATGTGTTTACACATCATTAATGAGGAAAATGGTTTCTCGTTTAGGAAGTAAATCTGAGGCACCTATTTTCTTAATGCATGAAAATTGACAAAACTAATCTAGTCATTTAAGTAAGTCTAAGAGGAGGTATGACTTTTATTTATTAAGAATTTGCACATCCCCTTATATGCACATTCCCTACCAACTAACACACCCTTATTTAACAAGCTAACATGTTGGACTCGAAAACATGCTTAACATGTTTATTGATGAGGTAGCTTAAAATGAGTTTTTTTTTCTTACCTTGGGGGCATGATAGACTTCTGAGAGAGTGACAACCATATCAGAGGTGTACTTAAGTTTAGCGGGCTGCTTCCCTACTACTTCCATGAGTGAGGATTCTCCATGTAATATAGGTCCGGCCAGACTGTCTCGTCGATCTTAAACATTCTCCTATCATTCAAAACATTTTTGGTAGCCCTATATTCTACTTACTTATCCCAAACAGCTCTAGGGACAGCAGCGACATATCTCTCTTCCAATATATTTGCATGTGTAAGTTGCTTCTGGCAAAGCATGCACTTGTTCATAAAATGTATCATCTACCATATAAGTGCAAAAACCATTTTTCTAGTTGCCTGCCTAGGGCATCCTTGTTAATCTTCTCAATCTTCCTCTAACTGATCCTAATTCGTTCTACCTTGAACTTCTATTTTTTTCCTGCGTCCTTTAAGAAAATGACCCCTCACTACTAGCTCCAACCTCTCCTCCTTTGTGCCTCAGAGTTGAGTTTCCTCATTGATCCAAGGGTCAGTCATGAGCTATTCCAATGTTATGTCCTTTTGCTTTAGGATATTTTTTGAGTTCTTTCAATATGGGAGTTGTATCATGAGGTTTATTGCCACTTGAAAGGCCTCTTCCAGTTTCATGCCCTACAAGATAATTCCATTTGCAATGCAATTCAGGCACTTTTACATGAATTGGGTTATTATCCCTAACATGAAATCCTTGTATTGATTTATCAAGAACGACTTCCTCTTGGTGTCCTTTGACTGTACTAACTATCTAGGGCTTCCCATAACTCCTTCGCTCTCTGGTCTGGACTAATAGTTAAATAAGCAACCATCAAGGAATATTTCCTTTACAAATATTTCTCAATACCATGAGTGATCCCTTATTTGACTAGTCATCCTCTATCTATTGGATACAAGCTTCTTCATCATAAAAGGATAAATTCAAGACATAGGTGCTATGGATAGTGGCTGCCACATTATAATTTATTGAGTTCGATTCCTACCATAGGTAGAGGACTCCTCTATACTGATCTACGTAAAAATAAAAAAAAAATACCAAAAAGAAAAATCATTTGAAGATGAACAAGGCCAAGGTTGTGTTGAGCCTGAGCTTGAGATGTCAAGGGATCAGTTTTAGGATCTATTAGTGCATCAATTAAAGCATCTATTACCATCAGCTTAGCAATAGAGGTAGCAAAACCTAGACATTGTTGTGTAAGCATGTATACAATCCTAAGCATTATCATTAAAGATATGATTTCCACTACCATCCCTTGAAATTCACATCATCAGACTTCTCCTATCGGACGAGATATTGATTTATAAATTTAGTACAAAGAAGGAATCCTATTTTCTAGTGGGAAATTTATCAAAATACCAACATGTGTGAACTATTCAACATTTTACGAATTTTCAACTATTCTAACTTATGAACATGTGTGTGTGTGGCCAACCATATACCATGTTTGATAAATGGAACGCATTAGATATCCGCTATTTAGTTGAGCACTAGGGGTCAAAGAAGGCAATAACTCATTCTTAAAACTCGCATTCTTAAGACCAAATAATCGGGCAGAAAAGAGGGATAGCTCTCCATTCCTAGTTCTCCCATTACAGCATACTCCAGCTTTTATGAATATCTTGAGATCGAATAAGAGATCTGGTTAGAATGCAATAGTTCATCTCTCATGGTTATTTAGATAAATTTCCCTTTTCTAGTTTAATACCTTGAACGTGTCGACTTTAGGTTCCTTTAAGGATTTAATTATATGATTATACTGTTAATATGCCTGACACAATCTCAATTGAAGTAAAACATTGAGGATACATAGTAACTGGTAAAAAATCTCCACCCATTTCATAATCATAGCATAGTTCATGCAAACACGAAAAGAAAAAACAAAGGAAAAAGAAAATAAAACTCAAAAACTTATCTTGCCTTGAATAGAGAAACAATCCACGTCAAATAGTGTGTTAGTTAGCTTAATAGCAACCACAAATAAGGTGTTTAAGATAATACAAGCCAAAGTGAACAAATTCGTCTATAATTCAAATTTATTATTGATTTTGATGTTCATCCTTTGGTACAATGTTCTTTGATATTTTGAAGCTTTGAATGACTTCTTTCACTACACAAATGCATATTCTTGTCTTAACCATGGTTAGAGCTCACCTTCTAAAACGTTGTACTAACAAGCGGAGGAAGTAACCGATCGAGAAAAAACCATAAGGTGCCAACTTTGGTCATAAGGGTTTTCTTGAATGGTGAATATCAGATAAGCAAGTCGATCTTTTATGTGTACAAACTAGTGAACAAGATCTTTCGAGTCATCATCATCATAGCCTTTATCCAATTAATTAGGTTAGCTACACGAATCCTAACCTACCATATTTTTCTATTAAGGGTTATATCCTCAATGAAGTCATAAGTCCTCATATTATTTCGAACAGCTTCCAACCACATCTTTTTAGGCTTTCCCCTTGTCCTTTTTAATCCTTCTATTTGAAACTCCCACCTCTTCACAGGTGTTGTACGGAGTCGTCACCACCGAACAAGGTCTTTTGCGTACAAGTTAAAAAAAAATAGAAATTTGATTGTATATTAATTGAATGACGAGGCTCTTTGAGGTATTTAATACGCCGTTATAGAGTAGCTCTGTGATGTAATCTAGTACGAAGGAGTATAGATCGAAGATATGATTGAACCGAGTGAAATAATTATTAAATATTTATAAGAGTTTCATTCTGTAAAAACTTCTAAGGAATACTGGGCCAAACTAATTTTCACTATGTTGGGACTTGATTTTCATTACAAACAAATAAGTTCCAAGGAAAATGATTAATAAGTGATAAATAATTGTTCTTCAAATAACTGCGATAAAAAATTCATCATTGCAAAGTTGCTTTTGATATTCAAAATCCATATGGCTCACCTAATTTGAAAATTGAGTACTGATATAACTCAATCTCATTGTTGATTACTTATTAAACAGTGAGCACCTGGGAGTGGTGGAAGTACTAATACATATTAAAAGCTTTTGAAATAGAATTATAGTGGTTAAGCACAATCCAACTAAAACATGGGCTCCTTTGTTTAATTATAGTAAAAAAAACAGACATTTTAATCACTGACAATGAGTTTTGGTGCGAAATTTGGGAATTTAAGCACTTTAAAAAGATCCAAACCTCAACCGATAAAGAGATTAGTAACTCTGATTTAGCCTAATAAAACAAACTAAATGCACAAATCTTCGCTGCCTATACTCAAACTCCCCAAAACTATTTAAGTCTTTTATTTTTTGGGTGAATGAAAACTAATTAAGTTGGTTTGTAACACTAATTAAGTCGGTTTAAGTTATACAAATATTTAAGAGAATACAGCTCCAAGTCTACTAGTAGAGTAATGAAATCTAGATCACATGGATTATCGAATTGTCATATATACATATCGGATTATACTAGCGTACATACATATCGGATTATCCGATATATATGCCTTTTGACTCACTACTCAAGTTGTTTCATGCTATGTACATGATTTCATCGTTTTGAACTTCTGATGGGTTGATTATATTGTAAGCTTATAAAAAAAACAAACCCAATATCTTTAGTTCTTGAGCTACTATTTAGCATTATCGACCACTAAAGTTTATTTTTCTGTTTTTTCTTATTGATCTAGCACAACTGCCTTATTATAAGGCTATAAAATAATGAACTGTTACGTCTTTAATTTTTCATTAATGAAAAATTGGTAAGGGGCTTTGTCCCCTACTGACTTACCCAGAAACAAAAATATCACATAATTTATACTACATCTTGTTTGCTTATTGTGTAATAAAAATCAATATTTTTTTCTTTTTCGTCATAAACTAGAATGTGGCTCCTATCGCAAACCCTGGGGATGTTGGTGGGCAAGCTGTGGCTTTCAGAATAGCCGGTGACCAAGCTGCTTTTTGGGGTTGTGGTTTCTTCAGTGGTCAAGACACCCTTCACGACGACCGCGGTAGGCATTATTTCAAAGATTGCTTCATCCAAGGTTCCATAGATTTTATCTTTGGCAATGGAAG